ACAGTGACAGGGCGTCACGACACCGAGAAGGTGGTGGTTTAGGACTTATTTATTACAAAGGACTGAAAACTGCTCAACGGTTTTGAGGCGAGCCGGACTGATCTTTGGACTTTGTAAAGGCTTGGAGAGCGCACGCCCCAGTTCCCTGCCCTTATCTTATCTGCAGAACGCCACCACCACAACACAGCCTGCTGTTTCCCAAACCATCACGCCACAGAGAACTCCACCACAGGCTTAGTGGGAAACATCTCTCACTATGCCCGACTGCAGAACATCTCCAGTTTAGTGAGAGGCCAACGCTCTGAGGTCATGCACGCTTCGAGTTTCACCCATAATGCACTGGACTGATTATGAACAGAGGATGAACCACATGTTGAAAGGAGAGAAAACTGCACTCTTCACTTTGATCTCTGAAACTGTCCCGTACCTGAAGCATGAAATCAAGCCCGACTGCCAGAGTTTTAAGATTTTTTCTCCCCTCATCCCTGAATTGTGGCCTCCAGCTGTGCAAAGAGCAGCTTTAACCAGGCACAAAGCAGTCTGGTCAGAATGGATGGCTTTGCTTTCAGGTAGTGAAGAGCCGTGCAGCAGGTACCATTCAACAAACATCACACAACTCCTACGCTCACTATTAGCAGACAGAGCCAGACACTAAAACCACCAATTATATTTTCCACCAGCATTTCAGAGGCTTTATTTCAGAGTGTTAGTGTAATTTAGTTCCATTTATGGGAGATATTCAACCACAGACTCAAAACAAATCATCCTAAAACAGACAAGACATTTGGAAGGAAGGTCTTGAACCACTTCCATGAGAAGCATTTCAACAGAAACCCTGGGACGATCACCAAGCGAGGCCTGCTGCTCCTCTGCATCACTTCATTCTGTCTGGGCTCAAACAGTCAGGCTTTCTGTTGCAGGTTGGCAGCATTAAAAACATCTTTATAGAGTCAGCTCCGGCTTCAAATGAACCTGTGAGTAACTTCTACAGCAACAAACATTCTTATTGCTAGGCTGCCAACAGTAACAAGATGTTTGTGGTTAAAAAGTGCCATTTTTCAATCCCCATCTTGGTGAATCGTCTGCCACAAGCCTGATTTATGATGCATGGAACACAAAAAGGTGCATATTTCAAAATCTGCTTTATTAAAACTTGAGTGTGTGAATGCGTGTTTTAGCCAGGTCTGATTAGTTAAGAAGATTTTATCAGTTTTAATATTTGCACTAAAAGATAAATCAGAGTATAAAGTTCCTTTGTATCAGGTGACTTTCCAAACTTGTATAATTATTTCTTACGCGTGTTTCTCTGTGTTTACTGATGAGAACCAGCTGTTCAATAAGGCCTGCAGGAATGTGTTGTAAAGAGAAGGTACCGGTGCCTGCAGCACGAACTGAACAGAACCCCAGCCCCTTCACAACCCAGAAACACTGGACAAATAAATGTGACCTGTGCACACGTATGTGGGCGTTTTAAATAACATTAGGCACGACAAGCAAGCCAAAACAAAAGGTTGCTCCCATGAAATGCAGAGGTTTCATTTCTTTCAGCCTTTTCATATTTAACATCCAACTCAAATTCTAACGAGTCCTTCCGTCCTCTTACTGTGCAAACGAAACCTTGTTAATATAAAGAACACCCAGGAACTGCTCCAAAAAGTTCTCCATGTAAATTAACTATGTTGAGAGACAAAAAGCAGGCAAGCTGTAAATATAGACGGGGTAAACGTGTATGTAAAATATTTTAACTATGATGAAAAGTTTTAAAAGCTGAAGCACCGTATGAGCATCACTCTGGAGTCACATTCAGGGTTCTGAGTCAACTCCATTTATTTTAACAGCCATAAAAATCCAGAGGGAAGGGGTGGTGGTGGGACAGGGCAGGGGGGTTAAGTATGCAGGACACAATCCCTCAACCCTTGCCCCCCTCCAGCTTTTACTGTAAAAGCCCCCCACTCCTGTCACAAGTTTCCATTTGTTGGCTGTAGCCCACAAGTGGCTTCACTGATTTGCCCTTTTGCTTCTGTCATTATTAAAACACCGGCCCCTCCGAGGCGCTGTGGCTGAGCCGTGAGGGCAGTCGTCCTCCAATGGGAGAGCTGGAGGTTCAATTCCAATATGCAGTCACATGTTGAAGTGTCCCTGGGCAAGACTCTGAACCCCTGCGCCGGATTGAAATGTTTTCAGATTAAATAATCCAAATGTACATGGGCACAATCTGTTCATGATGAGTGTTTACATGCAGTGGGCCTAGTTCTGAACAGAAGTACTGACATGTGCAGACAGAGTGGTAAACTGTCCTTAAAAAAACACAGAAGAAGAAGTTCTACTTCCGGTTTACTTCCAGGATGAACGTGAACAAACCTGAGCACCAAAATGGACCCTCGACAGGTTTAAATGACGGTGGAGACGTTGCTGCACTCCCTGACTGAGCTACAGGTGATACACATGATTCTGAGCTCTTTCAACATTTCTAGTAGAAATGCTGTCACTCACCGACCACTTTTACTTCTCCGACATGCTAATATTATTAGCATTAGCCAGGCAAAAATATGTGAGATAGACACAGGTCGCACATGGGCAGTCAGTCAATTGTCCATGACTGGAATAAAATTATCAGATTAAGTGTTTACATGCACACGTTTGGATTATGAATCGGCAAAAACCACCCGTCTCATTCTGATTACAAATTATTTGGGATCAAGCTGAATCAACAAAGAATATTCTGAATGGGGCGTTTAATCTGATTACTAATGTCCAAGTAAACATAGATACTGCCTCTGATGTGTGTCCCATTAGTGTATGGATGTGATCTAAAGCTCTGATGAGTCTCTTTAGAATGATTTGTTCAATGATCTCTGCAGAGATGTAGTAGAGTGCTGTATGAATGTGTGTGTAGTAGAGTGCTGAATGAAAGTGTGTGTAGTAGAGTGCTGTATGAATGTGTGTGTAGTAGAGTGCTGTATGAATGTGTGTGTAGTAGAGTGCTGTATGAACGTGTGTGGAGGTAAATGAGGCACAGTTTGTGTTGTAAAGAGCTTGGAGTATCTTGATGAGATAGAAAGGCTCTATATAAGTACAGTCCATTTACCATTTAGGGCTGGTGCCCTTGTCGTGTTGTGTACTCTCATTTAGACACACACACAAAGAGCAAGCTCAAACCACATAACGACTCAGAGTGTCAAAGACAAGAAAGGAGTAAACCTTGTCGCAGTGTGCAGGGATGTTTAGTAAGTCACTGCCGGCTGCTTGCACTTCACAGCCGTAGGAGTCTCTGCTGAGGAAGTGTGCACATAAACACAAGCCTGGCCTCGTTCAGCAGGGAGCGCAGCTTGTGAGATGATTATACCTCCTTATTGTTATGAATTGCCTACAAGTATTTCCTAAATGAAGACTTTGTTTACCCAGAGGAGCGGTGAAGTGTTGCCAGCAGCACGTATTGTGTGCCAGAACAATACTATTATATTACTACTGTACTTCTAATGATTCTTGAATAAAAATAGTTCCAAGCGATTACTCAGGTCTTTGTATAAACATAAAATGAGCTAAATGTGTCCTCGTTCTGGCATGGAAGCTTAAAACTCTAGTTTGGACTTTTATAAAGAAGGGTTCAGTGAAAAGTTATGAAAAATCAGTATCTTACCTGTTATAAATAGCTCTTTGAACAACGTCAGTTTTCAGATGGTAAACTGTCCACACTATGGAGAGGGCTTCTCAAACCTCTCCTGCTTCTGCAGAGCTTTACAAGAGTTCTCCTTCACACCAAAAAGAAAATCTGGGGTTTACTTTCTTGCTCAAGGACACCCTAGCAAACTGCAGGGGCTGGGGATTGAACCAACGACCCTCTGATTAGAAAAGCAGGTTCTCATGTCTGGTCTGAACAAAGCAAAGACCAGAGTGGATCTCTGCCATCTACAACTCCAGATCTATAAACTTTTACACGACAAGCAAAGACACTTTATAGATTTTAGATTTATCTCAATCTGAATTTAGTTTTTTTTATTGCCAGTCCAATGGTACGTTTGACTTTTTTAAAATTATTGGCAACATGTTTATTTTAGCAAGTACATACCCCCTTTATTTACTTTACCCTCCTGCTGCTCTGCTCAGAATGACCCTTGACCTCAGCTGTGGTTTTGACACAAGGGCAGCAGGAGGGTAAAGTAAAAAACTTTGCTTCCAACTAATGAAAGTTTGTAAAATACAGTTTGCAAAAACTACAGTGAAACTTGAGATGGGAATGTTTTTAATATTGTGGCTAGCCTTGTTCGGACTAGCCATTAGCTCGTCCGGATGTTGCCAGGCTATCTGTTATCAAGAACATGTAATTAACCTGTTACCAAGAACATGTGATTAACCTGTTATCAAGAACATGTAATTAATCTGTTATCAACAACATGTGATTAACCTGTTACCAAGAACATCTAATTAACCTGTTACCAAGAACATGTAATTGACCTGTTATCAAGAACATTTGATTAATCTGTTATCAAGAACATGTAATTAACATGTTATCAAGAACATGTAATTAACCTGTTA